GAACCCTAAACTCTAAACTTGGCCCTAAACCCTAAACCCTAAACTTGGCCCTAAACTTGGCCCTAAACCCTAAACTTGGCCCTAAACCCTAAACCCTGAACCCTAAACCCTAAACCCTGAACTTGGTCCTAAACCTTAACCTTCGGCCCGGGAGCCAGATCGCATGCAAGAAGAAGATAGGCGTGGAAAGGACTCGCGAGACGATGCGGCCTCATCCAGCGCCGGGTTTGGGTTTATAGTCTAAGGTTGAACCCATGGGCCCCTAACATGGGCCCTTCGGGGATTCTAGGGTCCCTTAAGGGTATATATATATATATATATATATAGTTATTAGGTATATAGTAGGTGTATCAGGATCCCAGGGTTAAGGGCCCATACTAGGGGCCCATGGGTTCAACCTTAGGTCTAAATGATGGTGCCTTCTAGGGCCTAGGGTCCATTTTAGAAGGGTGCCCGTTTTGATTTTGGGACCGAAAGAGGGACCCCAACTTAGAGAACCACCCACTCCGGGAGGGACTTGTGTCAGGTGAGCCGCAAATTTCTCACCGTGAAGCTCTTGTACAGCCAACCCTTAATCCCAATCCCTTTAAAACAGGGCTTACGGGTTTAGAACTCAGAGCACCTCTTTCCCAGCCAAAGCCTAACCCTCACCCCCAAAAACCCAAGACTCTAGAGTCCTAAACCCAAAGCCACACCAATGAATCTTGTGCCGTTGAGGTCTGTAGCCGGTCTTGCAGATCGGGCCAGAATTCTTAGCCCTAGAGAATCAAGACCTCGATCCTAATTAAAACAAACCCTACAGCCGCCGCCCTGACCCTAAACTCTAAACCCTTCCGTAATCTTCCATGTGACCCCCAAACTCCAGAAACACGTTTAGGTATGGGCACCTTAATAAGAAAACTAGGATTCCTTTAAGAGTTGTGGAACAGGGTTAGCGAACGGATACTAAAACGACTTAGTATCAGTTTTCATACAGGGGCCTAGATTACTGGAACAGGGTTTTCGAGTATGCAATACCAGCAAGGAAACCCTGAGGAAGGTACTATCAACTGTGCAGATACACACAAACCGTAAAGATATGGCCTCGGGCTCAGGGTTGAAATAGCACAAAACTCGCCCAACACCCGAGAGCTCGTATTCTCGTGCCGGGTTCATCGCCACCCCCCTTCCCTCCCCACAGAAACAAAAACGCAACGACTCCTAAAATGCGTAAAGTGTATTTCATGTAGGCTTAGAGTTTAGGACGCGAACAGTTTGAGGGAATTCAACTGCGGCTTGCACCTTGGAACCCTTTAACCATAAGTCTTGCATCCGCCCGTGAAGAGAATCGGTGCTAACCACCAACTCCGGCTTTTAAAGATCGCCGAAATAACTTTGAGCTGTGAGTATTGTGGCTTTTGCTTCAGGGTTTAGGATGTAGGGCTGAGGGTTTAGTTTCCAGGTTTGAGGCCTATTGGTTAGAGCTCAAGCCTTAGACTGGAATCTAAGCCAGAAACGCCACGCCCCGAACCCTAAACCCTAAACCCTAAACCCTAATGGGTGCCTTGATGGTCCAAGTCCCCGGTCGTCGGGTCGGAAAAGAAGTAATGGGCGATCCAAAGGATGACCACCAACAGCACAGGCGGCAGCCTAAGTCTTAGGATCTATAGGGTTTCGGGTTTCGGGTTTAGGCGTTTAGGAGTTTAGGGTTTCGGGTTTAGGAGTTTAGGGTTTAGGGTGCAATGAAGGTTTAGGAGACTTTTTGGGGTTTAGTTGGGGTTTAGGCGTTTAGGGTTTTAGGGGCCTTGATACTTGGAGTAAGGCTCCTTTACTTGAGGTCTCACGGAGCGCACAGAACGCATCCACCAGATGGCCAGCCACTCCGCTCTCTTGGGCTTGCTGGAAACCAAAGTTGAGCAGCTTCCTCACTGGGGCATCAACGGTGCTAGTGCCCAGTATAACCCCGGATCGTCTGGACATCGCCTTCATTCCGGCTGTAAACGAGATCTCATATTGACCTGAGTTTGAGTCCTTCATTGCCATCCGTAGGGGGAGAGGTCCACAGGCAAAAAGCGAGTCCATTAGTTCAGCAGGGAAGCGAGTGAGGTTCCTTGTTATAATTGTAGTATAATATAGCCCAAACCCTATTCTAATTCTTAAGGCCCCCAGTATAACATAGCCCAAACCCTATTAAAATTCTTAAGGCCCCTACAGTAGACATAGAGACGAAGGTACAGTGATTGGACTCCGGCAGAGTCTCCACCAAGTATGACCCAGTCGTCGCTGTCTCGCCCACTTCGACCCTAAGGGTTCAAAGGACCCAATAATCAGGTACCTTGGTTAAAGGAAACTACAGGTGGGGAGTTTAGGGTATATATGGCTTCTATAAGGTATATAGACCTTCTATAAGGCTCCTATAACGGTAACTACCCACCTGAAAATGTCCTAGACTTGGTCGCGGATAGTAGTTATCCAGGTGAATAGTTGGGAGAGTATGTGATTATTAGGTACTTCGACCCTTAGGGGTATGGGAAACTGTTTAAGACACCTTGCGTGGGTCTCTATGTCGTAGGGTTCTGTACATGAATGCTGATATTTTGGGGTTCATGGGCCACGATTTCTTAATCAGGTTCCTTCGTGCCTGATGTTCTTCGACTTCCATGTCGAGGGAAGCTGGAGTCTCTGAACCCCGTGTTAAAGGGTCTAGGGTGTGGGGTTTAGGGTTTAGGGTTTAGGGTATTAACTAAAGGGTTTAGGGTTTAGGGTTTAGTTTAGTAAATCTCTATGAGTCGCGGGACCCCCTAAAATGCCTACCACTTCCCACAGTAAACGATCCCCCAAACCCTAGACTCCCTAACCCGAAACTGCAAACCCGAAGCCCCAGACCCGAACCAACTACCAAATCCCACCAAGAGGAGCTCTAACCCCCCGAAACCCTAAACCGCCCCAAGCCCTCAAAAAGTCCCAAAAACCCAGGGGAAGCCATAGCTCTAGACCCCACAGCCCCAACAGCCCTAAACCCACGGCCATATCATTCAGGTATTCAGGGAATAGGGTTTTGGGGTTTAGGGTTGGCTATATTCCTTAAGTCATAGCCGGGGGGTTCTTACCACCTAAACTACCAAATCTAAACTAATAACCCCAAGGCCCTGAGGAACAAGAGTCCGTGAGTCCAGTACTCTAAAGCCCAACACCCCCAAACTAAACCCTCGAAACCCTAAACCCTAAACCCCTAAACCCTTAAACCCCAACCCCCCAAGCCCCTAAACCCTAAACACCTAAACCCCTAAACCCTAAAAGCATCAAGCCTTCAACCCCGAAAGCTCCGAACAATAACACCCCCCAATGCCCTAAACCCCCCAAAAAAGACGCAAACCTCAAGAAAAACACAAAAAATAGCCGGTAAGGAATCCTAAACACCTAAAAGATAACCTTAAAGGATTTAGGGGTTTAGGGTTTAGGGAATCTTAAACCCCAAAAGCAGCCTGAAAGGAATCCAAAACCCCAAAAACGAGCCTAAAAGGAGTCGAGGCACAGGTAGGTGATGCAGATGAAAACAAACTCCGACCCTTCCAAGCCTGGCAGGGGGCTTTCTTTGGTCTCAGGGTTTAGGGCTTTGGGATTTAGGGTTTAGGGTTTGGGGGTTGAGGGGTTTAGGTGTTTAGGGGTTTAGGGTTTAGGGGTTTAGTGTTTGGGGTTTTAGGGTTTAGGGTTTAGGGGTTTGGGGTTTAGGGGTGTAGGGGTTTAGGGTTCAAGGGTCTAGGGGTTTTTGGGTTTAGGGCTTAGGCTTTGGGGGGTTTAGGGTTTAGGGCTTAAGGTTTAGCGCCTAGGGCTAAAGGCTTGTAGGTCCTATCAGTTGATCTTGTGTTCACAGCTTGCTCCAGAGGTTCCTCTAGGTCCCTCCGGAGCCCCCTGAGAATAAGGGTATCCTTTCCCTACTATTTGGTTTCAATACGGGAAACACAAAAAGGGTACTACGCAGGAACCTAGCCCTTCAGCGCCCCTTTGAGAAGTTCCTTCAAGGGCTCCGGCATAAGGTTTCCTCTAATGTATTTTTCAGCCGGCTCCTTTAAGCGATCCTGCCTGGGGTTCCTGTGAGGGCTGATATAAGGTGTTCTGCCCTTCAGAGCCCTTTCAGAGCTGCTTCAAGGGCTCCTTCAAGGTAGGATTTAACGTCATGGTACCCCTTAATTAGAGGGGGTTTCATTTTCATCATTTAGATGTAGCTTGGGGCGGCAATAAAGGTTGTTGGGAACAGCTGGGGTTTAGGGTTTAGGGTTTGGGGTTTAGGGTAAGATTTGGATTCCAGGGTTGCTGGGTTTTGAGGCCTAGGCTAGGCTTCTGGGTGTAGGTATAGTGTACGCAGGGTTTAACTTGATTGCGATCATTCCGACTCACATTGGTGCGGAGTTTGGGGAGCCGAACAACCCTACACCACACCCCAAACTATGCTTTTAAACCCTTAACCCGAAGTAGCTCCAACTTCTACCAAATGCCATGTGACCCCTATAATTATGCCCTATGCATCGTTATTGACCCTTCTCGGAGCCCCTACACCCTAAACCCTTCTCGGAGCCCTAAACAAACGCTATACTGAACCCAGACCCCTCCCCGCGAAAGCTGCAAAAAGGAACCCCTCTAGAAACCCTATTAAAGGGGCCCCAGGGTTAAGGGTTCAGGAACCTTTTAAAACCTTCGAACCCCCCAATAGGAACCCCGTATAGAAGCCCTTAGAGGAGCCCTTAAGGGAACTCCGTAAAGGCTGCCGCCCAGGGGCTGCTCACATCTTTCCGCTTGTTCGGCTTCTCAGACTCATCATCTGAGTTTTCCGTGTCCTTGCTCACTGGCTAGGGCTTATAGGGTTTAGGCTTTAGGATTTGCTCACTGGTTTAGGGTTTAGGATAAGGTTTGGACCTGCTTGGCCCTTAGGGTGTAGGGCTTTGGGTTTCGGGATCAGAGTTTAAGGTTGAGGAATTCGGGCTCAGGCTTTAGCCGGAAAGAAACACCTTGCGCTTTGAGGGGTCATGCAGCTATACCCTATAGTCATCAAGGGCCAGAACCTAGTCAGTGAACTGTTCTGATCTGGCGCTGCTGATGTGCATGGTGTCCTCCGCGCCACAATCCCGAAAGCCTACTCCCAAAATACATTTACGGGTTGAGGGTTGAGGGTTTAGGGTTTGTAGTGTACGCCAAAGATACATAGACCGACTTTGTAATATTGGACCTTAGTATTGGGATTCCTACTGTCCTCCTAATAATGGACGTATACCCATAGACCCCATAGTAGTTCCTTTTGGGGGTTCATATTTAGAATCCTACAAGTCCCCAAAAGGAACTACTATGGGGCCTATGGGTAAACACGCAGTCTGCACTGCCAGGATCCCCCGAAGGGAGCTCATGTAACAGGGCTTCCGAAGCACAGTGAGACACTGAACCCACGAAGCTCTCAACCCTGAGCCCTGAACCCTGACAACCCTACCGTCAACCTTGAAACCTATACCCTAAACCCTAACAGCCCTACCGTCAATCCTTGAAACCTAAATACCCTAAACCCTAAACCCAAAACCCTGAACCCTCACAACCCTACCGTATTGAAACCTACACCCTAAACCCTAAACCCAAACCCTGAACCCGAACAACCCGACAGTAAACCCTTGAAACCTATATACCCTAAACCCTAAACCCCAACCCTGAACCCTAACAACCCTACAGTAAACCCCTAAACCCAAACCCTGAACCCTAGCAACCCTACAGTAAAGCCCTAAACCCGAAACCCCTTGAAACCTATACCCCTAAACCCTATAAACCCTAAACCCCTTGAAACCTACACCCTTGCACCAAAACTCTCGTTTCCTGGTTCAGGCCCTGTCGGCTCGTAACGAATGCGGCGGATTTTGGGCCTAGGGTTTTGGGTTTAGGGTTTAGGGTAGATTTGCAAGGGTTTGCAACGGCTTCGGATCGCTTTCTTTAGAGTTTGGCAGGGGTATATACGGCTCAAGGTTCAGAGCTTACGCTAGAGGCAGGTTGAAGGGTTTCATCGGTCAAGGATCCATCGTCCGCCAGTCCAACTTCAGAAGAAAGAAGGCAATGGCCTGCACAGGCAGGCAGGTCGTCAGTTTTTGTTGCTTGTTTTGCTGTTTTTTTTTTGTTCGGCCTGTTCCTCTGCCGAAGCGTCCGAATCTCTCAGGTGGGTGAGCCAGGGGGATGGAGCTTGCCTCTTCATTTATCTCCACTACATCACCCCCGACCATGTTCACGAACTGCACACACCACTAGCACCATATTGAATTGTGCATCAGGCAACGACCACGTACCGCTAAGGGAGGATGCCACAAGACATCATCTAACCTCCACCATTCGGTGCTTCGTGAGTTGTCTGCTTGGGCATCACCTGGGGCTCTGGGCACCAACATCCGGAGCCCCTGCACCTGCCTTCGTAGCGAACCAACACTGGTCCCGGCATTCAGGACGGTTTACACTTGTGATGGCCCTTGCCAACAACGCCTCCCACACAATGTCGATTTTTGGCACCACCCTCTTGGTGGTGTGGATGACAAGCCTTTGGACCAGTGTCTGCGCTGTGTTGCCACACTTAGGGTTTAGGGTTCACTCCTCTGTTGCCTTTTTTCATCCGGCAATTTGCCTGCACCCTGAACTTCGTGCGTCGTCGTCACCATCCATCATGGCATCCATCATCCATATCCGTCCATAAACATCCATCAGCCAGAGTCATTATGACACTATGCAAGAGTACCCGAGAGAAGCCGGCCCCACGACAAACAACTGAGAGTGCTAACGCGTAGCTAGACTCCTGATCAATACACCCTCTCTCCTCTCTAGGGGTTGCACTAGGGATCCCAACAGCAAGGTCCTGAAAGAAATTGGGCTGCTTGAGCAGAGACCATTCAAACCCTAAACGTAAACCCTAAAGCCCCTAAAAGGGTCTACATTGCTTCGAAGCCTAAGGTTATTAGGCACCTGCTGGCGGAAACCCAAGAACGAAAAGGGCAAGATTTGGTTCAGTCCTAGTCCATGCTGTACGCTGGGGAGTAGGCTACTCCATGGCATAGGGTTTAGGATTGAGACCCTAAACCCTAAACCCCCAAACCCCTGAACCCCGAAACCCCTAAACACCTAAACACCTAAACCCAAAACCCTAGACACCCAAACCCCAAACCCCAAACCCCTAAACACCTAGACCCCAAACCCCGAAACCCCAAACCCCGAAACCCTAACCCCTAACCCCCAATCCCCAAAACCTCTAAACCCGAAACCCCTGAGCCCTAAACTCCTAAACCCTAAACCCAAAGCCGTTTACCAGTTACCAGAACATACTTGGAGGTTCATGGGTAGTTATATGTGAGGTTATAAGTAAGGTAACTATAGTTACAACCCATATTGGGGGACTTATATCCCCACTTATAACTACCCATGAACCTCCAAGCATGGGAAGCCCAGGTTCTGGAATCAGATTTTCTGAGATCCGGCTTCCAGGTCCTTTGAGTTGCCCTACGGGTCCTTGGAACCTTGCAGAATTAGGATTTAGGGATTAGGGCTTTTAGGGTTTGGAGTTTAGGGGTTTGGGTTTAAGGGCTCTTAGGGTTTAGAGTTTAGGGTTTAGGGTTTACGGCTCAGGGGTTTGGGGTTTAGGGTATTAATACAAGTTGGGTCTAAAGTTACCATATACGTTATACGGAAGCCCCTTCAAGGCCTACCTGCAGAGCTCCTTGGCCCAAGCAACGGTTGGCAGTGAGATAGGGTGGTTTATATAGGGCCCCTCAGGGGTTTAAGTTTCGGGTTGAGGATATATGTGGATGAAACTGAAGATTGCAACATATGCCGCAAGGAAGCAAGAAATACTAGCTCAAAGCGTGAACCTGGAAAGAACAAAAGAGCTTCACTTCTCCCTAAACCCTCAGCCCTAAGCCCTGAAGCCCTAAACCCCAAAGCCCTAAACCCTAAACACTGAACCCTAAACCCTAAGCCCTAAACCCCTAAACCGTCGTGTTTCCTGCCTGAACTCCCATCACGGTGATCAAAGCAAAGCTGGGCCTAGCCACAGCAAAGAAGATATCGGACGGGGTTTAGGGTTTAGGGTTTAGGGCTTAGGGGTTTAGGGGTTTAGGGTTTAGGGTTTCGGGTTCAGGGTTTAGGGTTCAGGGTTTAGGGTTTAGGGATGTAGGGTTCAGGGCTCTTCTTGAAAGAGGGCTCTATATGGAGTTCCTTAAAGGGATTCGTATCTAAGGGCTCCACGAGGATTAAATTTCTTATGGCTTCAGCTCAGGAGCAAGAGATCGTGCGTAATTTAGGGGGCCTTAATAATTAGAAATAAGAACAGGGTTGTGGGGTTTTTTATACTATAGTTTTATTTAGGTAATAAGGAACCCCCAAGATAGTATAGGTAACTATTAACGCCCCTTTGTTCTGTCTTTTGCTCGGGTGTAACGTCTACGGGTCGGGATGAAGGGGCCGGAGAATTGCAGCGCAGCACCTATTTTCAACATACCCTGAGCCCGAAAGCCTTATAAATACGGTTAGGGTTTAGGGTTTAGGGTTTAACACGCTTCACCTATTTTCAACATACCCTGAGCCCGAAAGCCTTATAAATACGGTTAGGGTTTAGGGTTTAGGTTTAACACGCTTCCAAAAGCCGTAACCCTAAACCTCCAGGTACCTACTATATAGGGCCCTCGAGGCTCTGGTACCCTCTATAGTAGGTACCTGGCAGGTTAAGGTGAATACATTCCAACACGCTTCAAATCTGAACACGTAGAGCTGACAGCCCTAAACCCTAAACCCTGGGTACCGAAGAGGAAGGCATGGAGTACTTGAGAGAAGGAAGGGCAGTTCTGCAATAAGACGACGAGTTAAACACTGCATATGTAACGAGGGGTTTAGGGTTTAGGGGTTCTGTAAGAGGGTTTAGGGGTTAGGGTTTCGGGTTTGGGTTTAGGACGTGAGGTTTTTGAATGGGATTTAGCGTTAGGGTTTCTACTTGGGGGTTTGTCTATACGGAGTGTACCTAAAATTGGCGCGAGGCTTGAACATCCATATATATATATATGTATAAACCAAGGGTTTAGGGACTCTTTTGTATGAGGTTTACAATTCGGCCACCTCGACATTAATCCTTATGAAGACCCTGAAGAGTCCCTATGCAGCAAGAACGAAGCATTACAAAGGCCAGCGAATCCTTGCATAGACTCAAGACAGACCCTTATGGAAGCACTCTATGCAACCTCATAGGACCCAAAAGAGCCTCACATGATCCCTTTTAGAGACATCCGGAACAACCGCCTAAACACAGATCAATGAACCCTTATATACAACGCCAAAGAAAGCCCTCAAGACACAACGAAAACGCGCAAACGAACCCCGTGGAACTGGCGGGCAGTTCTATAAATTAGGGTGCCTTTTTAGGAGCCCAGGCTAGTACGGCACTCTAGCGAAAAGGACCCTGAAAGGACCGTTGTTTAGAGAACCACCCCTGCATTGACACCCCATAGTACCCTAAACCATAAACCCTATAGGCCCTAAACCAAGGGCGCCTATGCTTTTGCACGGGCCCGGCGATGAAGTAGGACATGGACTGTAACATCTGGTTGATGCCCAGAGCCATGGCGACCTGATTGGGATTTAATCGGCAGGCTTTACGGTATTAGGTGTTTTTATTTTTGTGCTATAATGGCTTTTTAAACATAGGTTTAAACACACCGCGTTATATAGTAGCCATCTTATATAGGGTTTTCATGATTCTTCATGGTTGTACAACTTTTCTGCGGTTGTTCAAAAGGGTCTGAAAAGGGCTCGGTAATCGGGTTTCTTCAGGGTTCTATAGGCTTGGTATCAGGTTCTCCAGTGACCTCTTTTGTCATACGGTTTTCTGTCACTCAGCTGGAGAATGGATACTTGGAGGTTCATGGGTAGTTATAAGTTATAAGTGGGGTGAGAAGTAGGGTAACTATAATTATAACCCAAATTAGGGGACTTGTAACCATACTTATAACTACCCATGAACCTCCAAGTACCCTGAAATGAACACGGGCATACGTGCACCACTGGGACCCAGCCACCTTCGTACTGCGAGGGGGCTTCATACGGTTGATGGACAAAATCCTGCACGACCTTATATACCTAAACTATGGGATTTATGGTACTATACTATATTTGGGTCATGCAGAATTTTGTCCATCAACAGTAAGGGTTAGGGTTTACAGTTTCGGGTTGTATCTCCTGATTTTGAGCTTATGGGGTCATAGCCTAGCATGTTGTTTCTTTCGGGGCTACTGCTGGGGCTTGGGCTTGGCGCAGTGAGCATCAGCCGATCGACTGCAAACCTTCCACTTTCGTACGCAAGTCCTTGTCGCCGACGTGACACGGCGCTCGGTCTTCCTCGTAAACACCAAGCCTGTCACGCATAGGGTCTGTAGTGTAACACACTCGCAGCATCTGAACGCGAAGCCACCTTGCTTAGATTGCACAGCAGCTGCGCGAAGGGGCGGCCACCGGTCCAGGAAGCAGCTGCTTTGTGTAAGATTCTCACCGGACGAATTCACTGGAGGTCACGTGCACCTGCAAGATATAAGTGAAGTCTCGACAGATAAGTGCGGGCGTGGCCTTGGGGGAATCTGCTGAAGATCAGCACTCCAAGGCCTTTGGAGAAGCGAGCCACGGTCAAGCAAGCCGTGAAAGTGGAATGTCCAGCAGTGCCGCGCGTAGTCGCGCTCTGTGGCCATAAACTGATGCTCGACCGTCAGTGGTGCAGTAAAGTCTTTGCTGCTTTCTCTTCCAAGACAGTCGGATAGTGGTTGAGGGCTTTATGGGATTGCGGCGATGGCATACAGGTTTGGGAATGGGACATGGGTTTATGGTGATAAGGTTTACTCTAGGGTTTTAGGGAAAGACTCATGGGTCTGAGTACGATGGTTTACCTGAGGTTTTCAGGGACTGCAGTCCCCTCGGTCCTATACCCTCGACTTTTCATGCAGCGTTTCTGTGTTCCTATATATTAGGGTTTAGGGTTTAGGGTTTAGGGTTCCTGATCTAGTGCCCCCTGACTCCTGCCGGGAGGACTTGCGGGGATTGGCCCGCAGAGGGCTCAGGGCCTCAAGGTTTTTAGGGGCATAGTTCAAGCCTGCAGCAGATTGCTATGTAGCTCCCGTTACAAGGGATTTGGACTTCACGGTAGCCGCTGACACCCGATGTTCCCCAAAATTAAAGATTAAAGCTTTGACCAAAGGCTTTTCCCGATCCCTAAACCCTACAAAATATACAGGTGAGCCCTCAACCCGAAGCCGTAGAGGGAAAACCTTCAGCCACACAGTAGGCGAAAATGTCTATCCTGATCCCGGGGTGGTAGCTTAGGTGTTACGTCAGGGTTTGGGTTTAGTGTTTATCCCAAACACCTAAACCCGAAAGGGTAGCCTGAAAACCCTGAGCGTCATTGAGACGAGGTTGTGTTGTAACTGGGGACTGCGTATCGACGTCAACACGGACCCTACCTATAGTCTCCATTGTAGTTCCTTTTGGGGGTTAGCTGTTAGGATCCTTAATATAAATGTGGTTAAACCCAAAAAAAGAACTACATTGGAAACTATAGGTAAACCCCTGAACCCGGACATTCAGAGGATTTTGATCTCACCTGTTACTTCTGAACAGCTGTCCAAGGGTTGTCGGTATCACAGCTGTCCAGCTTAGGGTTTGTAAGGTTTCAAGTTTAGCGAGATAGCCCAGCTCACATCAGACCAAAATCATGAATTACAGGTGCTACTGCTGTAACGACTATACGAACTCTACATACTCTGGGACTCGAAACAGCATCAAACAAGGAAGCGGCAAATCCCACTGCCCCTGAGGGTTTATGGTTCATGCCCACACCCTGAACCCCTGAACCCCTAGACCCTACCACCTGAAGCATGCCAGGGCCACCCGAGAATAGGCATCGAAACGTAGCCATGCCCGATGGTGCTCTGCGAACTTGGCACGATGCTCCTTGGTGATATTGAGACGAAAAGAAGGCTTTATGACTCACAACCTCTGAACATACTGTTGATGGACAAAATCCTGCATGACCCAAATATAGTGTTTGTACCATAAATCCCATAGTTTAGGTATATAGGGTCATGCCGCATTTTGTCCATCAACCGCATCTTAATTACACGGCCGTGTGGAGTAAGATTCGCAAATCCCAAGCGGGACTTGCTGACATGAGTTTACTCTCTTCTTCAACATAAAGACCCACGGTTTAGGGTTTAGGGTTTAGGGTTTAGGATAGATCTAAAACAAAAGACCAAACAGTTTAAAGTTCTCCCATTGGCTATCTGAGTTTCGGCACCCCTCAAATGGACAGCGGGTACACGTAACCGTTTGGAGGAAGGGGCCTACGACTAATTTTGGTCAGTTTAGGGTTTAGGGTTTAGGGTTTAGGGTACAGAGCCCTGGTCAAAACAACCCTCAAACGACAAGCTGAGCCCCTCGCAGGCCAGAAACCCCCTACCCCCAGACTTGCCATGGCTGGCATATGCTGTGAACCTGCCAATAGGTACATGTGTGTCTAGCGATGTGCTATTGATTTTTGAGTTTCTGAGCTACTTGTGACTTATTAACTGTTTCTGTCCCTAGGTTGTTTCGATTGTTCGTTTTGAGTTCCCTAGGTATTCTTGGATTCTTTGGAGTTTTATGTTTGACTTCCCTAGCTATCGTGGTTTGTTTTGAAGTACACTTCCGTAAATTGTTTATTTATGTTTGACAACTTGTTATGTGTTTTAATTCGCACGCACGGCTCTGTCTCGTGTGGTTCCTCAGGCTTGCTTCTTGGCTTTGGTAGTTGTGTTCTTAATTTCCTGCGGTTTTCTTGGTCTTGAATTGTGTCTTATTTGATTATGATTGCCACAGGACTGATTGAATTATGGTTGGTTTTGTGTGATCGTCCTGGGATGTTTTTGCTTTTGCTATGGCTGTCTCCCCCAGTTGTTTTTGCATGTTTTGGATTTCCCGTTGTTTTTTTGTGGGATTTCAGGGTCTTTGAATTGCGTTGTTACCCTTTTCTCTTCGGCTGTCGGACTATAACTGATGGTTACTGATTTGTGTTTAGTTCCTTATGCTGGCTTCAATGCTTAGGTGATTCACCTAGGTTGTTTGCATTGCTGTGCTCGATTTTTGTTGATTTCCCGAGGTTTAGTTGCTTTACTGCAATGCTCGATGTTGACTTTTGCTGTTTTTTTGATTATGCTCGATGCCCCGAGGATTTGCTTGAAAATATGTGTGTGTGTGTGTGCGTGTGTTTGTATGCTTCGTTGTTTCCCTAGGTTGTGTTGATGCTATTTGAGTTGCCCGGGCGCGCTTGCTTGTTCTGGTGTATCCAGTTCTGGTTTTTGGTGATTGCTTGATGTCGTTGTTGCTGATGTCCCTATGCGTGTTTGGTTGTTAATTGACTTCGCTAGCTGTGTTTAACTTGTTTTTTGTTGAATACCCGTAAAGAATTATGGTTGTCCCTTTCTTGGTTTAACTGTTTTTGTGTTTACCCAGGACTTCGCTGTTCTTGTGGGGTTTGTTTTGTGAATGTGTGAATTCCCCAGGTGTTTAATTTTCCAGTGCTTTGTTTCTGTTTTGGAATTGTTGATGCTGGCTTGATTTCCCTAGGTTGTTTTGACTCTGTTTGCTTGCCTAGTGTGTTCCTAAGCCCGAAACCCTTGTTGATTCTTTGTGATTTCTCCAGGCTGTGACCAACACAAACAGCCCCTGGACATGAACAAACCCCAAATCATTACCAATACTGTTTTCGGGGTTCCTTATAACTATAGTAGAATATACCTCAAAACCCTATTCTAATCATTAAGGCCCATGTAGTAAATCAACGACCTCAGTCGGAAGAATCGACAAACTCGAACTCTAATTTTTACCAGGGATGTTGACCCTAAACCGTTCTAGTGAACTCCTAAACCCTAAACCCCTAAACCCCTAAGCCCCTAAACCCAAAACCCCTAAACCCCTAAACCCTAAACCCCTAAACTTCTAAACCCCAAACTTCAAAACCCTTAAACCCCTAAGCCCTAAACCCCTAAACCCTAAAAGGCAAGCATCGTGCTTGATCAAGTCGTTCTTGATCCTCGGCATCTTATGATCCTCGAAAGTCGCCAGAGCCTGCGGTCCAGTCGCTTACTTGGGTTTAAGGTTTAAGGTTTTGGGGTTTAGGGTTTGGGGTTTTTGGTTTAGGGGTTTAAGGGTTTTGAAGTTTTTAGGGTTTAGAAGTTTAGGGGTTTAGGGTTTAGGGGTTTAGGGGTTTAGGGGTTTAGGGGTTTAGGGGCTTAGGGGTTTAGGGTGTAGGATTTAGGGTTTAGAGGCTAGGGTCAGCCTGTAGCCGAAAAGACCTACTTTTTTTAGGATTCCTTATTATGGTTTCTATACATACATATAATATATATATATATATATATATTCAGTTCTTATATACATACACATATGTATATATATATATATACATGTACATAGTTCCTTGTTCCACAAGAGGGTTTAGGGTTTAGGGGCCTAGGGTCCCTCTGCTAGCGTGGAGGATCCGGGTTCAGGCTTGTTTAGGGGCTTCGGGTTTAGGGTTTAGGGTTTAGGGTTAGGGTTTAGGGGTTTCGGGGTTTAGGGACCGTAGACCCTTTAGGGTTTAAGAGTTTAGGGGTCTTATTTTTGGGTTCAATTTTGTTTAGGGTTTAGGGTTTCGGGGTTTAGGGGTTTGATACAGCGGCCTTAAGAATTAGAATAGGGTTTGGGGGCCCATTATACTATAAATATAATTATAATAAGGAACCACCAAAATGAGGCTGGTAATTTGTAAAGCCCCTACATTGCCCCAAAATGGGATTGGTAATTTTAAAGGCTGGGGGTTTAGGTTTTAGGATGGTTTAGGATGGGTCGAGAGCTGAAAACTGAAAAGTTTGGGGTCTCAACGCCTTGGCCGCGGCTGTTCAGCGACATGTCCTCCTGCCCTGAACCCTAGGCCCTAAACAATGTACAACCCTACACCCTAAACCCTAAACCCTAAACCCTAAAACCTTAAACCCTATAAACCCTATAAACCCTAGACCCTAAACCCGTCAACCCTCATAGTCATAATGTAGGGGCCTTAATAAACAGATTAGGGCTCTGAGGGTATATTGTGGTATACTTATTATAAGGAGCCCCCCAAAATAGTATTGGTAATTCTTCAGGTCCCGATATTACCCTGAAAGCCCTAAACGCTAAAGGCCCAAACCCCTAAAACCCTAACCCTTAAACCCTAAACGCCAAAACCATAAACCCGAGCCTAAATAAACCCGTAAATCCCCAAACCCGGGCCCGAATGGCCCTAATCCCCAAAGCTAAACCCTCTACCCTAAACCCTTAAAATCCTCAACCCCTAAGCCCCCTGATCCCTAAACTCGATCATCTCTGGGCCCTAGTGGCCCTAATCCCAAAAGCCCCCCGGGCACCTCCAGGGAAAGAAGAGAAGGATCCCCGAGCCTGCTTGGGGGTTCCAGGGTGTGGGTTCCTTCAGGGTTTCAATTTTTTTTTGGGGGATTTAGGGTTTCAGATTTTTTTTGGGGGGGTTTAGGGTTTCAGATTTTTTGAGGGTTTAGGGTTTCTGGGTTTCAGGGTTTAGGGTTTCTGGGTTTCTGGGTTTAGGGTTGAGGGTTTACGGTTTCTGGGTTTCAGGGCTTAGGGTTGAGGGTTGAGGGTACAGGTTCCTGTCAGGGATGCGATATGCTTGCTGAAGTGGGCTATAGGGGTTTAGGGCTTTGTTTGGGAGTGACAAGACATGTTTGTTGTTGGTCGCCCTTCGGCTGTAGGATTCAACGGCTGTGGCAACCCCATAACCTCTCTGCTTGAAGACTTCCGTCTGTGCTGTAAATGCTGGTTAGCTATGGTAACTTACTTACGGGGTGCAGCACTTGCGAGCGGCTCAGGCCTACTGGCTGACTATAGACGTCCGAATATTTCATACGAGTGTCCCCTTGTAGTCCCCATTACAATCATAGAATTACTTGGCCGACTTCTGCACCTCATCCAAAGGGTTAAACTAGTAGCATCCTTCTTATAGTTTATATAGAAGCCCAAAAACTTAAAGTCCTCAGAGCCAACCAGAAGAACACCAAGGAATAGCATCCCTCAGACCTTCTTCGAATTCTCTCAACGTGTTGCAAAGCACAGGTCCGAACGCCACCAGAAGCACCGACACCATTATGGTGATTCTCTGAGTACTCGGGTTTTTTTTGGGGCTCATTCCTCGACTTATGAGATCCACGCCCACGTCGCACAGTGCGTTGAGCAAGCCGCTTGGGTTATGCAGCTTACTGCGATAATAATTCCCACTCGCCAGAGTGGCCAAAAGCTGTCTTAGGTTGCGGTGGAGTTTCGCCGGGGCATCCGCCCAAGACATGAGGCGCTGCAGAAACTCCAGGCATAGGCCCACCAACTGTTTGGTGGAGTTGAATTTGTGTCCTTCTGCACGCTGGATCCCAACCAACATTTCCAACCAAGGCTATAGCAGCTGCATCATGGCCTCGTCGTCTCCCACGATGAGCAAGAACACCACTCCACATAGGCAGTTGATTGCCCAACGTCACATGAGTACTACTAGTAGGGTTGAGGGTTTAAGGTTCCGGGTTTAGGGTTCAGGGTTCAGGGTTCAGGGTTTAGGGTTTACGGTTCAGGGTTTAGGGCTTGGGGTTTAGGGTTCAGGGTTAAGGGTTTTACCTGGAGATCCACACACCCACTGCCTTGGGGTTGTAGCTATCCTTAACTCATGGTACCCCATAACCTACCCACTCGTATAGGAAACCCCAAACGCCGAACCAACAAGCGTTACAAATACCAAAACTAGCCATGCCACACCCAAAACCCTAAACCCGTCAGCGCTGTCAAAAACCCCGGACCTCCCGTATAAAACCCTATTCCAAACCCCTATTCAACCCAGTAAACAAGAAATCCGATTAAACAGCCGATACAATCCGCATAAACACCTTCAAAGACCCTTCTCGAGGCACCCTTAATTATCCCCAAGGGAATCCTATATTCTTTTAAATACATACATAAACACAAAGATACAATTATCTCGAAGTAACAAATACACATACATACATACATACATACATACATACATACATACATACATACATACATGCATACATACATACATACATACACACATACACACATACATACATACATATACATATTATATATATATATATATTTATACATAATATGTATATTGTGAACGTTACACATCTGTATACACAAATACATATTTCGTAGCTATGTATGCGCCCTTAAAAGGACCATGAGCTTTCTTTCCGAGGCGCTCTACTGAGCTGGCAGCGATGTCGGCGGCCATGGTGTTGCTGGCGTCTCCATTGGGTGCGCCGCCTGGTCGGCTTTGGGTTTAAGGGGCGAGGTTTGGGGTTTAGGGCTTAGGGTTTTTACGGTTCTAAATAGGGTTCCCCTTTAAGGAGTACTATAGGGTTCTACAATAAAGTTGGGGGGGGGGGGTTAAGGTTTAGGGCTTAGGGTTTTTACTTCGCGGTTCTATGTAGGGTTCCCCTTCAAGGGGTACTATAGGGTTATATAATAAAGTTTGGTGGGAGGGTTAGGGTTTAGGGCTTAGGGTTTTTACTTTGTGGTTTCTAAATAGGGTCCCCCTTTAAGGGGTACTATCGGGTTCAACAATAGGACCCCCATTGAAGGGTCATTAGGGGTGTGGGGGTTTAGGGGTTTAGGCGTTTGGTTTCGGGGTTAGGGTTCAAGCTTTAGAGACTAGGGCTTACGGAGCTTAAGCTTCGGAGTTGAGGGTCTCGGGTAAGGGCTTCCTTTCCAGGCTTGCTTCATGGGTTGCTTTACAGGTGCCTTAAACCCTAAACCCTTAAACCCTAAAGCCCTCAAGCCCTAAACCCTTAAACCCTAAACCCTGAACCCCCAAACCCTTAATCCCTAAACCCCCAGACCCCAAAACCCTAAACTTCCTTAAGCCCCTAGACCCCTAAACCCTAAACTTCCCTAAACACCTAGACCCCCACAGCCCTAAACTCCTAGACCTTAAAACGGTAAACTCCCTAAGCCCTTGAACCCTAAACTTCCCTAAACCCCTAGACCCCCACAGCCTTAAACTCTTAGACCCCCACAGCCCTATAAACTCCTAGACCCCCCAAAACCCTAAACTCCCTAAACCCCTAAACCCTGAACCGTTTAAGGGTTTAGGGTTTAGGGTTTAGGGTTTAGGTTCGAAAACCCCAAGGCTTCCCGTTCAAAGGGCTGCTTTGCAAGGCTCCCTCCACGCGTTTTACGGAGTTTTTACCATGAGGATTCTGTTCTTGCCAGGACTTGGCCATGTCAGGACGAGTGGGTCTCAGGGCTTAGGGTATAGGGTTTTAGGGTTTAGGGGTTTAGGGTTTAAGGGTTTAGGGTTTAGGGTTTAGGGTTCACGTCCATCTCGAGCAAATCTAAGACGTCTGCATAGAGTCGAACGACCACGGAGGTGTTCGTGGCACCAGGATGGAAGAGAAACCACCACACCACTGGATAAATCCTCAACGTCGGCAGAGCGAGGAGCACAGCGGTGTGTGACGGGGCCGCAGCCAGAGCAAGCTCCATGATCATGACGTACTGCCATGAGAACCCAGGGGTTTCGGGCTTACATTATAAGGGGCTTCATATTCGTGATTTCGGCAATATTCCTTAATCAAGGGGTTTTGGGCTCTCCGGGAAAGGGCTCTGGCACAAGCAATGCAGGCGCCTTAATACCTGGAATAGTGTTTGGGGGTATAGTATACTAGCTTTATCACCCAAAGGGTCCAAAGTACCTTTGTGGTAGAATGTAGGGTTTCTGTATTAGGAATTACTACTATGATTTAGGGAAGTATCCCCCATAACAGTACATGGGACCCTTTGGGTCATAAGGAAACCCCAAAACCCTATTCTGATTATTAAGGCCCCTACGTTAGCCCGCCAGCACAAAACAAAATCTCGCATGCTAGCTAGTGCAAGCTGGAAAGCACAGTCAGTAACCCTAAACCCTAAACCCTAAATAGCCACGATCCCTATAGAGCCCTAGCTTCGAAAGCCTAACAACCCAACCGCGATGTTTTGATGAGACTCGACAACAAGGACCTGAACAACAGTAACATAGGTGTTGGCATAATTAGTAACGGTTTCTCTTTATACTCCCTATAGAAGCACGCCATAACGTAGCCCAAAACCATATTCAAATTAGTCAGGCCCGTATACCGCACCTCCAGGATAGCCCTTACAGTAACTGCAACCCTCATATAGGAGTTCCCGAAAATGAGGGTACCTTATTTCGGGGTCCCTATAAATAAGGATCCTACTATTTAGGGTACTGTGTTAGGATCCCCCTATTTTCGGAGACCCCCATATAGAATAGGGTTTAGGGTTTAGGGTTTAGGGTTTAGGGTTTAGGGTTTAGGGTTTAGGGTTTAGGGTTTAGGGTTTAGAACCTTTAAGCGGGATCCCTGTAGAACTCTTGCAGGCTCTTAGGGAAAATGAGGCTGCAAAGAGCCATACTGACCCCTGCGAGACTCACCCCAAAAGTCATAAAACCTTCAGGGTTTAGGGTTTAGGGTTTGAAGGGTCCATGTGCCCAAATAGTATATACTTTGGCCTTAAAGTAGTCCCTATATACTATTTGGGTACATGGACCCTTAGGGAAAAGTCATAAAACCCTTCAACAAACCCGGCAGCATACGCTAAGCCTTAAACTCCCAAGCCAGAAGCCTAAACCCGAGAGACTACAGCCGAAAATCCTATCGGGCCTAAACCCCAAAACCCAAAAGCCGAAATCTTGTAAAACCGCTTGTGAAGGCATCCCGATGGTCCCTCAACTCTTTTTGCAAAAAGCACCAGGAAGCGCGTAAATCTCAGTCGAAAAGTAGTACACTCGAAGCCCTAAGCTGCAAACTCTTTCGGCCCCTATATCAAACCCTAAAGCCCTCAAACCCTGCATCCCTAAACCCTAAACCCTGCACC